TCCATGTGTATTTCAGTAAATATGGTTTAAGTGATGATACAGTGGATTTCGTCGGACATGCACTTGCTCTTCATAGAGATGATCGTTACCTTGATGAACCGGCACTTGATACAGTGAAAAGGATGAAAGTAAGTCTTGGCCAAAGCTGCTTCCTAGTTGCTATAGATAAACTTGTGTGCTTCCTAATGGTTTGAATATGTTTCCTCACCTATTGTTGGCTTTTAGCTATATTCAGAGTCTCTTGCACGCTTTCAAGGAGGCTCGCCATATATCTATCCACTATATGGGCTGGGTGAGCTACCGCAGGTCAGTCAAAATCGAATCTGTTAATGTAATACTTCTCGAGTGGGCATCATGTTCCTTGTTGATGATACAGTGCTTGTTTTGGGCTACAGGGTTTTGCGCGATTGAGTGCTGTTTATGGTGGTACTTACATGTTAAACAAGCCAGAGTGCAAGGTCTTCTTTTTCACCTCTCTTCACATAATTTAGATGACAAGAAAGTGCTCTCCTTTTTACCTGTGTTGCTTCATTTTGTAGGTTGAATTCGATATGGAGGGGAAAGTGTGCGGTGTCACATCTGAAGGTGAAACTGCAAAGTGCAAGAAGGTGGTCTGTGATCCTTCATATTTACCAAACAAGGTGAATACTCTCTATATCCAGATTTTAAAGGACTCGGTCATTTCGGTGCCAAATACTTATACTTTGCTAGATAACAAGCTAATTTACTGAACTTCTTTCTTGAGAAGGTATTTGTTATTATATGGCCTTCTGGTGTTTTTGCTAAACTTTTTTTTTTCTCATTTTTTCTGCCACCCTAATGTTTCTCAACAGGTTAGGAAGATCGGTAGAGTTGTACGAGCGATTGCTATCATGAGCCACCCAATCCCTAATACAAATGAGTCCCACTCGGTTCAAATTATTTTGCCTCAGAAACAACTTGGACGCAGATCAGACATGTGAGGCCTTCTCTCATGCTGAAATAGTTTTCATTTCATTAATCACTAGATTTACTTAAACACTTTTATCAAGTGGATCACTACGCTTGACGCAATTATGATATTTCTGTCCATATCCTCTTTTAGGTATGTTTTCTGTTGCTCATACACGCACAATGTTGCGCCCAGAGGGAAGTTCATTGCATTTGTGTCTGCAGAAGCAGAGACTGATAATCCCCAGTCTGAGCTAAAGCCTGGAATTGATCTACTTGGTTCTGTAGATGAGATATTCTATGATATTTATGACAGATATGAACCAGTGAACGAACCATCTCTTGACAATTGCTTTGTCTCGACGGTAAGATGTGAAGTATATGTTAATAGAATGAACATTTAACTTCACTGTTTAAACATTCTACTAAATCTTTGTGGCTGTTTCACCGTGCAGAGCTATGATGCCACCACACATTTTGAAACAACTGTAACAGATGTTCTGAACATGTATACAATGATCACTGGAAAGGTAACATGGACTTCATCTTTATTTTTATGATTGGAGTGATGTAGCCTGCAGTAGTCTTTGGTTAGTGTACTGTGCTAAAATGTTGGTTAAACTTAAGTCCAATTTTTTTTAGAGTTTTAACTTAAGTCCAATTAAACGAAAACTTGTGAATCTGTGATATTTTTATCGAGTAGTTACAACTAACTGAGCATTGTTTAATCATGACTTGATACACACCTTATTTTGAGCGGAGCTAGATACCTAGAGTTGGAACTGTGTGTGTTCCACACTTCCAGCTAACAAAAAAAGTCGCCTATGCTGTAATTTTAAGATTTAATGAATCTAGTTCCTCAATCTACTACTTTATGTTGCAAATATGGATCAAACATGTGCATCCTAACTCTGATCTCATTGCAGACTGTGGATCTTAGTGTGGATCTGAGTGCTGCTAGTGCTGCTGAAGAATACTGATTTCAGTCATACTGTCATGTTTATCAAAGATCACATCGTCGGGGACAGCACATGGAAACTTTAATGAATGGCTGGTATGAGTTTATTCCGGTCCAGATTATATCATGCCCCTTCTACTGTTCTGCTAAATGTCTACTAGGTACTTGTTGCCGGCAGAACTATGCACAATATTGACTCAAGTTGATGGACGATGATGGTTCTATTATTTACTAGTTGATCGAATGGTGTAAAACGTTATACAGTAACCATCATGGCTTTGTGATGTATCATAACTGTTCAGTAAATTTGGGTTCTTTACCATCGAGTTCTGCTTGATGCTATTGAGCGCTGCTCGATCTGCTTGTCCTACTGTGTTTACTGGGTACTTGTTGCTGGCAGAACTTTGCACAATATTGACCCAAGTTGATTGACGGTGGTGGTTCTATTATTTACTACTTGATCGAATGGTGTAAAACGTTATACAGTGACCATCATGGCTGTGTGATGTATCATAACTGTTCAGTAAATTTGGGTTCTTTACTGTCTAGTTCTACCGTGAATGACCGAAGTTTGTCACCCATCGGGTTCTTCAAAGATTTTTTTTAGGGACAAATGCCAAATATCTTTTTGGTCTGATGTGTCAGAACATGACCTTTGGCTCCTGTGATGGAGGTATTGTTTGCCGAATTATGCGATTTTTTTTTTTTTGGCAGGTGGAGTCTGGCGACTGAATTTTGTGGCACATGATATGGTGTTGAAAGGTTTGGGTCTTGTTGAATTTCATTTCTATTTTACACCAGTTTAGTTGAGACTGAAAGTTCTGCTGTTGCTGGTGCTGGTGGTGTCAGTGTCATCGCAAGCAAAAGGCCATTTTGTTGTGTCAAGCAAGGGGATGAGAGCTGCAGCTGCGTAGATAATGATTGATTCTTGTCTTGCCTTGCCTCCATGGTTAGATTGGGAAAGACCAACGAAGTATCATGAAAGTTATCACTCCGCATTTCCACCATAGGTTTTGCGGAGTCACTGTAATGGCTAGATATTATAACGGAGAGGCTAGCACTCGGACATCTGGCAGACGTGTATGGACGCAGCTCTTAGCCGTTCGATACGAGGCACAATAACCATCCGATACGAGTGACTTGCCCCGCCTTCCCACAGCGCGCAGCTCGCCCTGCCTTCCAGCGTTGCTCCTCCGCAGGCCTCGGCTCGCCGCACCCCATCCCCCCCCATCCCCCGGTGCCTGGGCCGTGCCCCAATCACTCACCGTGACTCTCCGAACATATCTTTTAAAACTCTTGATGCAACATACGTTTGAAACAAATAAAATATTTAGAACATACACTTGCAACATACGTTAAAAACAGAGAATATATATATATATATATATATATATATATATATATATATATATATATATATATATATATACTACTACTTGTAGCTGGCTATAAAATAATTTATTCTATAGTCACTTTGAGTTACGATAATTACTATATTAATTTACGAGACTATAGTAACTCGTTCCTAAGTGGTTTATTATAACGTTATGGTAAATATCCCCATGTGTTATAATAACCCAACTATCGTAAATATGTATTGACATTATCGTAAATTAGTATATAAAATTATCGTAAATGGAGGTGTCTACAGAATAACTTATTTTGTAGCTGGCTACTGAATATACTCTCCCTATATATATATATATATATATATATATATATATATATATATATATATATATATATATATATATATATATATATATATTGCAACATATGCACATCCAGATAAACAACTTGAAACATTCGTCTGCAAAAGTTAAAATACCTGTAACATACACTTGCAACGCAATGTCACTTTGCTGCTTGGGCGGGTGAATACTCGTCGTTGTGGAGTTTGACGGCGGCGCGGAGGTCGGCGGCAACTCGCCGGCGGGGCGGCGTCACACAAAGCTCCACCCCTCGTCTGCTTGCTGTAGCATCCGTCGTGGAGGCTCGCCGGCTCGGTGACGCATGCGTGGAGCTCGACGGTGCACCGGTGGCTAGTAGCGTGTGCAAAGCTCGCCGGCATGGCCGTCGCAACCTCTGTCCCATAGTTCCGCATCGAAGTCATCGACGCGAATGGATAAGAACGAAGGCCGCAATGGGTGAGGAGGAAGAGGAATGCCAAATATGTCGGACCAGCAAGGTGTGTCCGGGCGGACGGACGCCCTGCACAGAGCATTAACGATATTATAAATATATCAGCTGTCTTTTATGGCTGCCATGAGTGATGCTACCTTCAAAAGTGCGAGTACGTTATTAAAAGAAAAATTAATTAAGGAACCTAGGAAGAACTAGACGTTCTTTTAATTAATCATTTAGAAGAAGAAAAAAAATAGACATCCGAATTCTGAATTGATGAGAACTCGAAACTGAATGGTTCGGATGTATAACTTCATTTGTCGCCCAATTAGATGAGCTAGGCTCACATTCTATACTGGTTACAAGCCACTGTCGTAGAGTACACATGTTTTGGCAGGATGAAGTGTGGCAGAATTAATTTTGTGGCAGTAATGAAATGACGTTGAGAGTTTTGGTTCTTCCTGAATTTCTGTGGCAACAGTGGTATGATGTTGGAAGATTTGGCTCTTGTTGAATTAATGAATTTTGTTTCTACCTTGTCCGAGCTTGGTCTCATCTTAACCAGAGGCGTTGTTGGCTTGTTGCTATTGCTGTCTGCCTCGTGGTGAAAATCTGAGCGCCGTCGTGCTACTCCCAGAGGCTAGAGTGACGCATTCTTATCGTTCTGCTGTGTGGTCATTGTCAGATTGCAAAATGTACGGTAACACTGCGGCGTCATCGAGTTCAGGATCTTCTGAGGAATTTTCGGCGCAGATGAGATCACAAATATACCATAATACCAGCAGTGTTTTACGGCTGCTGCGAGTGAAGCTATCTGCAAAAATTACAGCTCGTCTCGTCTGTGCTTTACAGCAGAAAAACCACACAACATACAAAGCCATTGCTGTAGAGCAAACGAAACATGCTATCGCTCTCTCTGTTTGCAAGTTTGCAACTGCTGCCTCATCGTCCTCCCCCACAGCTACCCGTTAGCTTCGCCATTCCAATCCTAGGCCGCATCTTCGCCGTGCATGGATTCGGCGGTCGGGGAGCTGCCGCCCTCCTTCCCCGATCTTTTCTTGGCTTTCTCTGCCCAGCCCAAGACGCCGTGCTGCACATGCTCGTTGAAGATCTCCATCTTGTAGTAGCTCCCCATCTTTGAGCACAGGCCATCAATCAGTGTTTGAAGGATACTGTATATAACAAGTGCACCGACGACAAACGAATATTGAGACAAAGAAAACTGCCAACGCACGCACCTGGGTTACAATTGCATAAAGAGGCAGTGTGCTGTAGCTGCAGAGAAGCTGAATGACGACCCTGCAGGTACATACAAGGAGATGGATGCAAGAGTCAGAATGAAGAACATGCTCATGTACATGCACAGCTGCCATTTGAATTCCTGTGAGATGTACTGGAGGGAGGCCATGCGAATTACCCGAGGACGAGCCTGGGCACAAGGAAACCGATGTTGTCCATGAAGCAGGACTCGAATCCATAGGTCATCTTCAAAAGGAAAGTTACACAGTGTCGTTGCGTTCAGTCATGGGCATCGGAGGGAGCACAATTCAGAATCAGAAACGGTGTCCTAGTAATGCTTAGTAGTGTTACCAGTATCCAGAAGAAGAAGGCGAGCTCAAACGCGTTCTGAAATAGGATGAAGTGGATGAGGTGCAGGATGATCCGCGGCCGCCCGAACCAGAAGTGCTGGTCCGATGGCGTCACAACCAAATCGCCCTCGATCGCCGTCTGCTTCTCGGCTACGTCGTAGGCTAACTGAGCTATCACGTGCTCCAGCTTTGTGCCAACGGCTAACAGAAACTGCAGGAAGTAATTAGACGCCCTTCATTAAGCACCTAGTCCCTGAATGCTTATAATTCAGAACTTGCTTCAAAGTCTGCACTTACAACAAGGGGAAGGAAAGCCATCCAAAAGTATGTGTGCCAACCTGCAGATTAACAAAGTGAAGTGGGAGTAGTTTGAGAAGCTTAATAAATACTGAAATATTGCTACAGGACCTAGCTGCCTGTTAAAAAGGACAAACTAGTTCCGGGGAAGAATTTACACTAACAGAGAAAAACTATGAAAGTATTTTTTTACAAAGGTTGAAATAATGGCTTACCATTGACATTGAGCAACAGAAATATCACCACGAAGATCCACAAGCACCAGCTAAAAGGCGACAAAAACAGCATGGTTAAGTTTATTATTCATGAAGCAAATTTCCCTCAAAATTTGAAATTGAATTATTACCTTGTACCGACTATTTTTTTAAAATCAGACTCTAAAACCCTCACCATGTACTTGTGGAAATCAAATTTCGGGTTTCCGCGACAGTGAGTCTGCAATCCAAAAGAATGCATGCATGTTTACGTATAAACAATATAACAGAACATTATCTTGACATCCAATGGTGCTTACCATGATAAAACCAAGACGCATTGCGGCGTAGTCTGATTTAGCTACTGAACCATAAAACTGCTTACGAAATGAATGCTGAATGGGAAAAAGCAAGAGGAAAGGCTATTAGTTCACCAATAGACTATCATGTGAGGGTTAAAACGTCAGTTTTTTCTTTGGAGGGAGTAAATATTATTTTTCAATATACAGGTAATATATGACAGTAGAACACATGAATGTAGTACACCTTACCAGCTGCAGCCAACACAACGTCTTAGAATCTGTGCCAATAACCTCGTAATGTTCTCTGATAAATGAAACTTGATGCATAGGTAACACCTTCTTAGATCCTGCAGTTTCACATATCGGATTTTATCAATCCTATCAACAAACATAGCTTTTTGTTGTGAAGAAAATAACCAGATCATAAACATCTATAGCTTTTGTTTTCACAAAGATTTACATGTTTCCAGTTTCCGCAGAATAAAAAAAAAGATGTTCAAACAAATGTGTCTCATTGCACTAAAATATGAGCAACAACAGCAAAGCTGGGTCGTGATACCGTTTCCTGCAGCGTTTTTCTGAATTTCCTCCTCCCACTTTTTCCATTTGTGTATCTGAGTAAAAAAAAAGAACAGTAAGAAGCAGCCGGCAGAAGAAGCAACAAGAGTTCCACAGTTTATTAACTGCATGCAACTCTGCAGGCTTATGTCATAAGCAGCTTAATTAATTACCTTTGCACCTCCTAAAAGCATAGTTGTAGCACAGAAAAATACATGCGAGACAGCCAGAACAAATATGAAGATGTGCAGCTGATGCAAGGCTTCTCCGGACAGCAGTGGAACTTTCCCCTGTCAAGACAAACGCATACCATAAGATATATTCAAAAAGAAGGAAACATCAAGACGCCATGTTGTTGGTTTGATTCTATATAATATCTATGTATATTATGAATAAGACATTGACAACCAATGTTTTTCACAGATTATAAAATCTATGAACAGCGACTGTTATATATCCGAGTCGCATGATTATTCAGTCAGTTCACCTCCATTTCGCACAGCCCGGCCTCGGCTCCAGCCTCGCTGAGCGTCCGTGCCTTACTGATCCTACCGAGGATATCGGCGGCGACAAGACGCGCCGCCATGGCGGCCGCCGCAGGAGCCTCGTCGTCGTGCCCCGGTCTTTGGCACGGCAGCATGTAGTCTGTCCAGCTGGGAGGAATGCATGTCCTCTGGATCGTCCCCTGCAACACCGTGAGCAGCAGGGAGATGAACCCCAGAAGCATCAGCTCTGCAACAATACACACCAACACACAGAAGAGCTGAAATCACTGAAGACGCACGTACGTCTCTGAGTAGAAGAACAAATAAAAAACTTTTTTTTTCTAGTAGTAGTTAGTTACCTTCTTTGACCTTGAGGAGCGCCTCGTAGAGCGGCCTCTGATGGTTCTTCATGAGCGTCTGCATGCATGCCGGCCCAAGAACACCAGAGTTAGTGAAGCTCTCATCAGATCATCAGCATCACCGTCACAGCTCGTAGCAGCTAGCAGCTGAAAAGCAAGCAACAGCTCCAGCTCCGCCTCCGTGGCTACGTACCTTGCCGAGGTGATGGAGGCCCCGCTCGGCGGCGAGGGAGATGAGCACGAGGATGGTGCAGACCGCCGCCACGATCCACGTCGGTGTGAACTGCAGCGCCGCCGCCTCGTCGGCCACCGCCATTGTCCGTCCGCCCGTCCACTTGTTCTCGACCCTGCTCCCTATCTCCTTCTCAGACTGGCTGATTGGTTGCCAGTCCAGGTCTCCAGGAGCGCGCGCTCGGCGCTTCTGCCGTTTCCTTGGTTTCGTTTTATGCCGTCGAAACGCCACCGGGCGCACGTGGTGCCGTCTGCCGTGGCGAAGCGACAGTGGGGCCCACTGCCCCAGGAGCGAAGAGCTTTCAGGTAGGCCCCGGGAATATGAGACCGATGGACGGCAGCTCACTGTTGGGGAGCCGTTGTCTCGGAGCTTTAAACGGTGGTGGATGCAGCTTCGTAGCATGGCCACATAACTCGAGAAACAAAATTCTATCCAAAACTAAAAATATAATTAGATTTGTTTATCTTTTACTAATAAAACAGATGGGTCATGGACCTCTCCATCAACTTTCATAAATCCACTTTCATCCCCTTGAAACATTGATGTCAATGCCAGTGCCATGGCCTGGTTCCTGGGCTGTTCTATTTCCTCTTTTCCTCGACTTTATTTGGGTCCTCTGATTTTCAACCTCTCATTTGCTCTTTTCATCGGTAACTCTCTGGCTGGAAATCCCGTCTTCTCAGCTATGGTGGTCAAGTTGTGCTTGTTAATGCTGCCCTGGGAAGTCTACCGATTCGCCATATATGCTCTCCATGTTTCTTCGCAAGATGTTAGAGAGATCATTGATAAATGCCAGAAGCCTTAATGTCTTGTTTCATGGGATCAGGTGTGCCTTTCTAAAGGTGTTGATGGGGCTTAGTGTGCGTAATTTGGAAGATCAGAACTGAAAGGACCACAAATGTTGCCTAGAGGGAAGATGAAGTAGACGAATCTAAAATTTACAACTTAAAATACCGAAGCCGTTAGTTAGGAGGTTTCCGATTTCTTGGAAAACCAAAATAAGAGAAAACAAAAACTCGAACATATGTCCCTCCCTAACATAAACTTCACTCCTACAGGACTGTGGCACACAGCCCCTGACGATCAAGTTCCGGGCGACGGCAGCAGGGTCAGGTGGCGCCAGCAGCTCCTCCCTACATGACGAAGCCGAGGTCCATCCACGCCACGGCAGCACCTCCAGGAAGAAACCTCATCGCTGATGAGCTGTAGGGTAGCACCAAGCGATCCTCTACCAAATCCCCATTCTCCTCCGTTGTAACCCCCCGATTTGGGTGCTCCTGAACACGAAGAAAACCTCACTGCTGGACGTAGGGCCTCGATAGCCCAAACCAGGATAAACCATTGTGTCTCCCTTATGTTTTTGAGTACCCGAGCCACCGAAGACCCACACTTCCGACATCCGACGAACAACCACAATGATTGCCACGGCAACAAACCCGCGACAGCTGGCGCGCCAGGTAGGGGAGTGCGTCGAGTGTGATTATGGCTCTACGGTGGTCAGAGCCACCCGTCTCGTCGCCATAGCAGGCAGTGCTGCCCCAGAAGGCGACGTACGCTTCTCCGGCGAGGTCATCGTCGCCGTTGGTGCCTTCATCCGGGCCAAGTTCTTAACTTTGGGAGCTTGGCCTACATCGTCGATTGCTACAGCGAACTCCACCCCCCTCATGGAGACCGCGCCGGTAGACAACGAGTCTCAGGCGTCGTGTCCCCCACCGGGGCTCCTTGGAGTGGACCTCTGAAAAATGGCTAGAGGGGAGGAGAATAGTCTAATAAAAATTCTACAAAAATAGTAGAGCAAATTGTTAGACAACGATAAGGCGATAAAGCAGTTTTTCTCTAGCTCTACAAAGTGCTATGCAAGCCACCTACCAAATGCGTGCATATGATCTCTATGTCAATCACACGAACAAACTTGCTATGTCACTGCTTCTACCACTAGTGAGCTAGCAAGAAATAAGATACAATAAATTACTTCTAGCTACTGAACTAGTAAGATAAGCTACTACTACACAAGAGATGTGTATCAATGAATGTAATACAAATGAAGTGGAGGGTGATATACCGAACCGGGCAAGAGATAAACCAATCAAATGAATACCAAGATGACACAATGATTTATCCCGTGGTTCTGTTGCTTGCTAGCAACTTAGTCCACATTGTGACGACATACTCACTTGGTGGCTCACGCGCTAATAGGCTTCACACGCCTAACCCAACACTTGGGCGCTGTAAGAACCAACAACACAATGTGAGGGTACACAAGTCACGAGCAATCCACTAGAGTTGCCTTTCGTGGCTCTCGTGGGGAATAGGCGCAAGAACCCCTCACAATCGATTGATCGGAGCCGGAAACAATCACCACTGCCGCTCAATGATCCTCCAAGCTCCGGGTTGGCTAGGTGACGGCAATCACCAAGAGTAACAAGAGCACCACTAGCTCAACTCACCCTTCCTAGTGCCACATGATGCAAGAACTCAATGCAATGCACTAGAGGCTCTCAATCTCACTCTACACTGTGATCTCAAGTGATGCAATGGAGTGGATCGTGTTCTTTTGCCCACAATAGGTTTTCTCAATAGTTTGGGGGTCCAAGAGAGTGGCCATGGCTGGCCAAGGGGGGTATTTATAACCCCCACCACGAAATATAGTCGTTACCCCTTGGAGTTGAAAACTACGTGGGCACCGGACAGGAGCGGTGGCACCGGACAGCCTGTCCGATGCCCTCCAATGACTAGTTTCAACGGTTGAAAAGTCGACCGTTGTCGGTGTCAGTGGCACCGGACACCATGTTCGTTGCACCGGACAGCCTGTCCGGTGACCCACAGACGCGACGATAACGTTTTTCTCTCTCTGGAAAATACGGCGGTGCACTGGACAACCTATCCGGTGTCCTGTCCGGTGACCATTTTTGCCGAGTTCCTGAAATGCTATTAGTACTCTCTAGAAAAATAGGGCGGTGCACCGGACAACCTGTCCGATGCCCTATCCGGTGTGCACCTTACATCAAGGTGCTAAGTACATGCGGGCGCGTGCCGTGGCGTCTCATGGACCCTGTTCGGACCCACTAGACAGGCAGTCTGGTGCCACCCAGGGGCAGCACCAAGAGCCCGAACATGCCCTTGCAAGCGATGCTAACTCTTAAATATCTCACAAACATATTTAGAGCCAAGTTAGTATTTCCAAATAGTTTTTTCATAAACATTTTTGCCTGCTCTCTGTTGTGCATTAGGCCTAAATGCAATGCATAGTTATCCAACACCTAGTGGTACTAGATGACCGAATTGTCCGATAAGAGCTCCCCTCTTAATAGTACGGTCATCTATCCTAAATCCGATCACGCACTGTATTGTGTCTTGACCGGCAAGATAAAATCCCTATTTATACCTTTGTCTTGATCTCCATACGTTTTTTGTTTTCCTCTTTCTTCTTTTCCAAGTTTGAGCACTTGATCTCATCTTTTGGCATCTCCATCACTTGAGTGTCATCTCGCTCCATCACTTGGACTTGGACCAACCTATCTCATAATCACACTTAGACATAGAGTTAGTCCAATAGGTTTCATCAATTAGCCAAAACCAAACTAGAGCTTTCAACCTCGAGGTCCTCGTTCGGTAGGTCCAACTCGGTTTGGGTCTAAACCCCACCGCGTCGGAGCATCACTAGATATTCTACTGTCGACAGCGAAAAGTGACGGGCTACCGGGACACACAGCAAGCCGAGAGAAACCACGTGGAGCAGATCCCAAGCTCTCCGGACTTAGGAGGACACCGGACCGGATGGTCATGACCGAGGGCGTGCCAGTCAATTTGACCCTGCAATTGACAAGGAGAGAAAATTAATCAGTAATTTAAGGTGAAACATGCCGGTGTTTGTCCAGATAGTTCCAAATATGCGGCTAAGTAGCCAATGAAATAAGGCTATTGACTAGAGAGTCGATATCCAGCATGTTCACGATGCATGGTAAGCAAAATAAGCATATCGACAATTGTTAGTTACTCAAGAATATAGATCTTAACTAGCCGATGATCATGAAAACATGCGAAAGATATAAGGATAGGCGTGTAAGCATTCATGTGAGAAACATACTAGCTTTTAACCGAGATAAAAACGAATAAAAGCATGTAAATAGTTAGCACATCCTCAACAAAATAGGTTATCAGCTAAAACAACCAATTCCAGTGATCTTATCGTATAGCATACGATCACTCATCCGTCGGATATAAATAAATCTACAAACAACTAAACTCAATCTATTGTACCATCAATAGGTCGAGTCGTCTGATGCAGCATTGATAGTAGGACCCTAGATCAGAGACTAGCAGTCGATAGATCTACTTATATCGCAAAGGAGTCATGAGAGCATATTATACGCGTGGAAGCTTAGGCCATCGGCTAAATAGCCGATGGAGACATAGCGGGTGGTTGACGTCATGCTCTTCTTAATAGATAGATCTATTAACTGACAATGTCCAATCTAACACGCTATCAACAGATCGAGTCGACAGATGCAGCATTGATAGCGGAGTCATACCGGATACTGGTGATCAATGAATCTATCTCTTAATAGAACATGACCTCGAACACTCGCCATGAACGATCAGGATTGAGATAGATTAGTCATCAAAATGGGATCTAACGTCAAGAATCGAATTTAACCATAAAGGTGTCTAGCATACGATAGATCAAAATAATAGGACTAATAAATCTCAATCTAGATCGGACAATTGGTGATATTATATTAAATAGTAAACTATTTAACATAATATCGATAACTTTGATTAATGCCAACGTTTATAAGAGATCAGTCGTCTGTTGTAGCCTTGTAAAAGTTGATACGAATCGATAACTAATCTATACCGTGATTTGTAAGAGATCAGTCGTCTGTTGCAGCCTCACAAACAACAATATAGATCGATAACTAACTTATACTACGACTTGTAAGAGATCAGTCGTCTGCTTACAAGTAACAATACAAGTCGTGACGGATACTCACAAACAAGCCGAAGGTCAGGTCATCCGATGCAGCCCTACTTGCCCAAAGAACTCATCGAAATCTACTCTACTCCTACTCCTAAGGGGCGGC